GATATGTTCATGCAGTTCGGTCCCCACGACCTACGTCTCTGCACCTCACCTCAAGGAGATCTCCACTATAACAATCAGGTTTTCTACACTCACCCGAATAACGTTTACACCACACGATATCGGTTTTCAATGCTCGCCGATCAACATTCACAATCTCACAATGTAACTACACTCCACACCCTCTAAGTGTTGGTCTCTAGCCCGTGTCTTTCCTCAAGTACTTGGAATTACCATCTCTCTCTAGGATTTACTACCGACCCCACTCCTCTTGGAAGCGACTCGGTCTCTCACCACACACTTCTCTCGGTGTACTAGTGTAATACAAAGTAAATCTCACAATAAGTACAATACAACAAATGATTGTTCTCTATTATAGATGAGAACACAATGTATGCTCACTCTCAATTGCTACAACTCCTCACAACCCAAATTATACTAAGTATGAAAATACAATAAACTCAATGGTTGTGTGTGTAAGCAATGAGAAAAACAATTATAAACTCAATGTAAAACCCTAGCTTGATGAAAATGATAAACAACAAATAATTAATACAAGGCTAGTATTGAGTTTAGAAATTCTTCTCTAAAAATCAAGATGGAGGGATGGATTAAAATGGAGCTCAAACAATATAGATGATCTCCTCCACTTGTGAAAGCTTCTTCATAAACCAAACAAACTTTAAACCAAACTTAAACACACTTAAATACCCTTTAAAAACTTGTTTAAACTTTTCTTGGATGTTATGGAACTAAGGATATGTGAGGGTATTTATAGGAACCTTAAAGCCAAGAGAAAACAAGGCAAAAAGACCAAAAACCCAAAAAACAGTATAGTCAGGAAATATAGCTGTTACAGTGTTATGAGTCGACTCAGTATTATTCATGAGTCGACTCATAAGTAGCCATTACAGGCTAAAAACTAACTTATTGGTCGACTCATAAAATTTATGAGTCGACTCATCATGCATGGGTCGACTCATGAAATCATGGGTCGACTCAGCAGAAACAAAACATACTTTCCAGCACAGTTTATGAGTCGACTTATGACAGGCATGAGTCGACTCATCCTGTCTGGGTTGACTCATGATGTTATGAGTCGACTCAACAGAAACAAAATGTAAACTACACAACAGTTTATGAATCGACTCAACACTGTTCATGAGTCGACTCAAGACATGCACACTGCCTGTTTTAAATAAAAATCTGATTTTCAAACCTCTTTTAAAAATAGCAAATAAAATCAGAAAAATGTAAAACTTTGGGAAATAATTATAAACATGATAATATATATGTTACAAAAACTGGTTTTCAAAAAACATCTCGCATTTGTAAAATATCATCATATTGCAAATATGTCCAAAACATAAAAACATGAGATACTTGAACTTTGATGTTTTGACATAAACCAAGTTTTGAAACTCTATAAACTGATTTTATAGACTTAAAGGAAGATATAAACTATTGTTATGAAGTTTATAAATAATGAATACAATTTTTTTCATAAATACAATGGAATATGAAACATATGAGTATGTATATGAATATATATTTGTTTCATATCTATGAAATTAAAACAAACCAACTTATCCACATAAAAACAAACATGTATGAATATAAATGTTTATTTATATGCTTGTAAAAACTTTGTTTGTGGATAAACCAAAAGCCAAAATGTGTATATATATATATATATATAACTATATATATACATAGAAACCAATAAAATATGTGTATATGATATTGAGCTTAAAGTACTTAACACACATAATATAAACTCCTAAACTAATTATACCCAAGCTTGTGATCTTCAATGAAGCTCTATCTTGCTATACTTATGGATGAAGCTTAAACTTGGATCTTCAACTTGAATTGAAAGGCTTCAACCACTGTTCTGCCAACCTCTATTGGATATGATCGTGAAAGCTTGATTCCATCCATCCTCCAACATGTTGTTTGTATACAATAAATAGATAAATACAAACACTAGACAAACAACATTAGTGATAAATTGTTTGTTAAATATCATCAAAACAAAGAGGTCAACAGATGATTACAAACAATTCCTAATATTTTTTGTCTAGTGTTTATGTTTTCTTGTTAGGTATTCTAGACAAACAATAAGTTAGAGGTTGGTTGGATTACGCCCTCACGATGATATCAAAAGGAGGTTGGTGGAATATCGGAGTGAAGCCTATGCATACTAGTCAAGATCCAAGTTCAAGCTTCTTCCATGTTTACCAAGACAAGCTACAATATAGATCTATCAAGCTTGGATAAATTAGTTTAAGGTTTATATAATGTGTGTTAATTCTATAAGCTCAAATATACACACACATTTCATTTGTGAATTTTCTCAAATATAGAAGTTTTTAAGCAAAATATGTTTTAATGTGTTTTCGACTATATATACATCATAAACATATACTATATGTCCATATAAATATTCCATAAGTTTTCAAATCTTGTTTTGAGTCAAAAATCAAAAATCACATGTTTTATTAAACATGTATTTTAGTGTTTTGAATATTTCTGAGATTTCACAAATGGTAAGAGAAAATTGAAAAATTCCTTTACCAACAAGCTTATAATCATGTTTATAAACGTTTCTCAAAGTTTTACATTTTTTGGATTTTATTTGCTATTTTTAAAAGGACTTTAAAATTAGTTTTAAAAAATCATTTCAGGCTGATAACCTGTTATCAGTCGACTGATCAGTCGACTGATGATATCATTCGACTGATAAGTCGATTGGAAAATATGCCTACAATCTTCAAAAGTTTCTGTTTCGTTTTGGTCAACTGACCAGTCGACTGATGATCCATCAATCGATAGATAAAAGTCGTCAGTCGACTGATCAGCTAGCAAATACCTATAATGGTCAGCTCATCAGTCGACTAATGAAATCCGTTAGTCGACTGACGGCCCAACGGCTAGTTTTTCCAGCCTTCTGTTTTTTTGTCTTTCGCTCGATTTGTTTGAGTTTTGTGCCTTGGTTTTTCTTCCTATATAAACCCCTATTGTTCTCATCAGAATTACGTTTTTGAAGAGGGTTTTAAAGAGGAGTTTAAAGTGTTTTAAAGTTTGTTTAAGGTTCTAAGTTTGAGTTTACAAAGAGGAGGCTTGCATTTTTAATTGAGGAATTCATCCTTAATCTTCTTCAACCTCTTTTTGTTTATAAACAAGTTTTTCTAACTCTTTTCTCTAGCAATTTATTATTAATTTTTATATTCTTATTATTGCTAGTTTGCTAATTGAGTTAGATTTTA